TGAGACAAGCTCTACTGTTCACAGAGCAAGAGCATGAACCCAAGCATTTCCAAGCAAGCACCCTACTTACTGGGGTATTCTAGAGCTTATCTCGATTTCCATTCAATAGCGCCAAGGGCTTCAAGTGTCATTCCAATACAAAAGAGGAACAACTGCTGGAACTTCTGTATCTTCATAAGAGAGAATTCTCATTTCTCTGGACAGCTTAGCTGTTATTGCCATGTTACCACTAATACCAAATAGCAGGGAAGATGGAAAACCAATGTTGCCAACTCCTACAAAAGTCTCCATTTTTATTAAACTGGAGTCCTGAAGGCACGCAATTATGCAAGAATCTTGGATTTCAATTCATGAGAAATAAAAAATTCTTCTCCATGCAGATAAAAACTTGAAAATGTGTCCTCTAGAAGAACAAAAGCCAGAAGGCAAACAGAAATTAAACCGAATTTTTTCAAAGAATATCTCTGTACTTTCAAGGCAATCTCATGAATGTGATGGAGCAATGATTCTTTTTTGGACTATTTGCTGTCTAAGATTCCTCCAGGCTTTTAACTCCACTTCCTTCATACATTTGTAAACTACAACCTGTCTGGCCTTGACTTGTAAGAATTAGCTAAGATGCTTTTGACCTTGTGCAAGGCAAAGGCTGTTGCCTCCTTCGTCGAACCCATCCACATTGCAGCAAGGACAACTTGTATCCTTGCAAAGATGCCAGGCTAGACTTGCCTGAAGTGTGGCAGGGCTCAGACTGGGCCTGTGCTTGAATATCTGCTTGCACGTGTTCAATACAGGCAATAAAAAGAGTCTCGGCATGTTCTTGGATTTAGAGCCACACCTGACTGACAAACATGCCCCAAGGGGGTTTGTCTCCACTGGCAGAGCCTCTGAATGGATACTGGCACATAAGTAGCCAGACTTGCTTGTCCCTGGTTTTCTTGATAAAGAGGGTGGTGGGTTCTGCCATGAAATAATACATCAGGCTTGAGAGGAATTAATACATTTCATATCTGCAGTTACCAACCAGAACAGCTGCCAACTAATGTCAACCTGATGCAGAATCTGAGTAAGTTTCCTATTGCTGGCTTTGTGCAAGGGAAAACTTTCTGTAATGCCAGTTCTGAGTTGAACCCTAGTTTACACAGGACACAGAACAAAAATCCCAGCAGCCGTGCCACACAAGTAAAAGGAAGACTATGAAGGACTTTCATATGCTGGGCTGTGTTGGGTCAAGGATACAGTATTTCCCAGATTATATGCAACATATAAATTCCACTTACCAAAGCTTTTCCTTCATTATTACCTTCTGGATAATGTGGGTTAAGCTGGAAAAGAAAAGAAGTCAAATACTCTCTTGATAGCTTTTAGACATTTCAAAACTCAGGCGAGGGGGTTTAGTTCAAGTCTGTATTATGCATCCACCCAGCAAAAGGACAGTGGAATATTTAGAAGCAGTATGAGAATGAGAGTATAAGAATTACTGATTCCATTTCTGACTGACTTAACTGGCTATGTCCTCACTTCAAAAAAGCGCATCTTGCAACCAACTCAAGAGATGAATCTCAAATAACTCAAACCAAAAAGGAGTGATGAAGAAAGCACAGATAGTTACTAAACTAAACACAGGAAGTTACAGTCACCCACACACATATGCAATTCACTTTCAGGATAGACCCTGAGCAGATATACTGAGATAAAAACTAACATACTCCATGTCTACTGAGACTTTACGGGAAGATGGTGAATTCAGAATAAATACATCTTTGAAACAGTAATGGCAATGTCACTACAGACAAGTGTTGAATTACCTTGTGATTCTGTTTAACTATTACTAGTGGGGATAATATTTTCTATGGCATACCAGGATTATCAAGCATAATTAACAAGTAGGATGAGAAGCTTGGATGAGAGACAATATATAACAGTAAGTGTAAAGTATTACTATTTAACAATACGATTTTACTTTTGACAAGGGAAATACGCAGACTGGAAGATGAAGGATTATGCAGGCAGATATATACTCACATAAACAAACACACTTACATCCACGCACTGGTTGCACATGGAACCTTTCAAGATTTGACTTACATAATGAAACAAATTTGCCTCAATATTTACCATATTCACGGACACAGGACATGCCAACAAAGTGTTGAAAATGCTGAACTGAAATTATTGGTTAATAAGGCAATTTAGTTCTTAAGCAACAATAGTGTGTATACACCTTACATCTTATAAGTACAGTCATTTACTTAGCTTGAATTTGGCATTATCAGTGTGGAAGGGCCAGAAGTGAATTGCACAGGGCAAACAAAACCCAGTAAAACTTTTCAGTATCACATCGTCATACATCTAACATTAAACAGACAACTACTACGAAGAGCTTTTATTAAGTTTATGTTTTTATTTATACTCCTTTACCCAAAAAAGCCAGCTTCTCTTCACATCATGAGCCTGAAGAAAGGAGGAAAACTTTTAGATATTCCCAAAACTGCTTCAAATGCTTTCCCTCTGTGTCACAACTCGATGAACTAACACAGAAATGACGAAAGGTTTGTTCTCCTCTCTTCATTTCAGTATTTGCATTTCCCACCATGCTACACTCACAGATTTAATTTAGAGCCTGTTTTCCTCCCTGCACTGACACCTATCCCAAATCTTGCATTTTGCTGCTCCACAGCATTCTCACACAGTCTCCTAGCTCCGACTCCCACCTACTTCTGTTATACAGCACCAGGAACAGGAGATGAATGCTCAACAGCAGACAATTAGAAGTTATACATATATACATGCATGTACGCATACATATATATATGTAACTGCTTTCATATCGTCTTGGTTGTTTCATTAGTTCTCACGCCTTTTTCAGCCTTAGATTTGTTCACCTGACACCTTAAAATAATTCCTGCTCTAACAGCCAAGCTGAGCTCTCTGCCTTTGGTCCTCCATCAAGAACTGAGAAAACTATCAGGCGGTGCTCCAGTCACAGCCACGCACAGTGGCCTTTCAGCACAGGTGCAGAGAAGGTACGGAAAGGCTAAATTCCATCCTACCTTCAGATTCTGCTGGTTTTAAGCAAGTGAGAAAAAGCCCAAGTCATCTCAGGTTTGTCACTAGACTGAGCACAGAAAACCCTGCACAGAGGACTAGATCTTCCAAAGGAATAAATCGATACCCTTTCATTGAAGGGACAGAGCGAATACAGTTGTCTGCCAAGTATGAAATGGACCTTGAATTCTGCTTTTCTTCAGCTGTTTGCTTTCAACATAATGATGTTTTTAAAACACAATATACAGAAACAATAGGAGAAACTAGGAAGATCTCTCTCCTACCCCACTTCTTGCCTACTTTAAAAACGACTAAACAGATTGCCCTCAAATTTCCAAAATAGTTCACTTGCAGACTGAGGCTGAAGGAGAGGGAAGGCTCAAAAGAAAAATGAAGTGCATCTATAATGATGTTTTTTCTTGCCCTACTGTAACAGAAATAATAAAACTAAAAAGATGTTGTTTAGACAAAGTTTTGAGATGCTGACATTAAACCATAAACACAACAGAAGGAAGTTTTAGGGCTGATGTTCAGGGGCACGTTTTCAGCTGTGCTGAGCAGCTGCCACTTTCAATTTTGTTTCAGCTGAGGTTGTTGGTGCTGAGCATATCTGAAAATCAGACTATTAGCTACTATCCCATACTATATTCTCCAGGTAAAGGGACATAAATCATGTACTGTTGTATGTCATATTAGACCTGTTCTGAGTCCTTTCCAATATCCAAGTACAGCAGAATGAGCTAAGGCCACAACACTCCAAAATCTATTGCTTTTTCTGATTTATGTATGATCACCTCCATGTTCTTCAATAAGCCTCCAAAACAAAAGAATCCTTGAAAATAACAACATTAATAATTCAGTTTTGTTTTTTTTACTTGTTGCTAATGAAATCAAGTAAAATTCTTTGAAGGTGTTTAGAAAGTAAAAATACTATACTAAAATGGGCCCCATTAAAGCTCAACAGTCTTCAAGTCTTTTTGTGTCATTGGATATGTTGAAGTTGCAATGTTACTGAAGTACAGCTGAAATATAATACTGTATACGTCTATAAAATGCTACTGGGAAAGCGCAAGCTGTCAATAGACAGTAAGAACACAATGAATTGTAAACTGTGGAGCTCACACAAGTGTGACTGTATAAATAATTATTGTAATAGCTTCATTATACTTTTTTTTTTTTAGAGTATATATCCAACAGCTCATTTTACAATGCAGAATAACTCAGAAATTCTAATTCTCTTCTGCTTGGTTTGTGGTCTTTTTTCAACAAACTCAGGTAAAGCCATTTTTTACCTTTCCATGGATGAAAGACAAGAAGGTATCACAAAATGACAGTTCGTCTACCTCATGGCTGAAAATGAAAAAACATCAAAGACCTTGAAACTCATTTCACGTTCTGGAAAGCTCATGAAACTCACAGTAATATCCCAGAACTCACTCGTTACATAAGGCCACGTAACTTAAGCACCTGAGGAAATGGCAGTCGCTATATGGTGGTAAGGGAGGTGCAACATACATCAAGTAACACAGCCTGCATTAGTAGAGAAGCACGAGGGAAGGACAAGGTAAAATTCACATTGGTCAAGTGAACTGGCCACCTGAGCACAGCTGTCCTCACCCTTCACTCTGTTGTGGGGATTTTGCACTTGGGCAAAGCTAAGGCAATCAGCTCTCACAGCCTCAGTAACAGTGCTTTTATGACAATAAACTTTTAGTTGCTCATACATATGAACCCAGACCCAACTCCATATATCCTCCAGCCTACATAAAATCTGAGCTCCAGAAAACAGGGCTATGGTATCAACTTTTCTTTCACACCACAGCACCATGGAGGACATCACAGTTTTACACACACAGGCTAGCAACGCACGCTGACTTAGGTGCTGCACGAGCTTTCCCTTACGCTAAGGTAAGCTCCGCTCTACCTGCAAATGCATTTCACATAATATAGCTCACAGGGAGGATCTTGGACCTCAATTTGTCTTGAAATCTGGATCTGCTGGGGAGAAGAGAGCTTGGAAGCAGCCTAGCAAACTTGACAGCACACAAGGACAGTCGACATCATGAGAAAGCTGCCGCCACCATCACACAAGATCGTATTTTTAAACACTATAATCGTTAACTATTTTTGTGCTTATAGAAAGATTTCTAACTACAGAGAACAGTCTTTTAAATCTAAACAGAACTAGCATTTACCTGTACATTTTTTAAGCAGCGAAGTTCCCAACTTGTAATCTACAGAGGGTATCTGAGAGAGTGTGAAGGTCAGGGTCAGTATTGCAGGTGGTTCTCCTGGGTGTCTAAAAATTGGTGTCTCTTAGATTTCAGGCTCAGCATTTGTACACAGTGGTATGTAAGAAGAGTAGAGGTATGAATGTACCAATATCCCGTGGGAGCATCAGAAGGCCCCCTACTAGAGGGTATGTGTGACAAACTTACAGTAGAAACAAGCTTTGTCTATACCTCAGTTTTCCACCTGTAAAAGTCTTTATTTCTGGTTAAAATTATTTGGAAGGGCAAGGAATACCATTCCTGAATTTTTTCCTAGTGTCCTCATTATGTTATCATCCTCCTATAGAGGCTGCACAGTAGGAAGACAATTTCCATTCGCATGTGTTTGCATGTTACTTCTGGTATTTGGTGCTCAAAGTATACAAGTGCCATTGCTAATCCAGAGTGGTATTTTGCTAGATTGAGTGCCAGAAGTCACAGGCTCTGTCATCCCTACTGATTAAAGCTAGACAAAGTTGTATCTTAGAAGTTTTCAATACATAAGATTTTAACACTGCATAATCTCCTGAGGTTCTACTGTTGGGCAGAACAACTTCTCACTAACATGTTATTCCTGGCTTTAATTTTATTTTTACGTCTTCATGTACTAAAATATGCTTTACAGGCCAACAACCGAATTACAAACCTGAGTCCATACTGCGGACAGTCTGACATTTCACATTTATACTGAATGCTGTTTTCCTAAACAGAGGAATGCACAGAAAGTACCCAAATAGGCTATTTTTGGACACTCTTAATTGAGAAGGGGAGAGAGTAGTTTGGTGAAAGAAATATCCATGTTGATTTTAATCAGATTTTGTTAACTAGGTAAAGGATATTTAAAACATCTCACCAGAGAAAGAATTAGATTGCTAAATTTCAGCTAAATGAGCATTTTAACTACTTTGTTAAAACCCATGTTTATGATGGGAACCCTGACAGACAAAGAATAAAAGGATCTAATTCAACACACGTAAACAGTTCCCATTTAATTTGATAGCCAGCCTGTTAACACACAGCCTGTTACCCAATCAACAAGGGCAAGTGTTTCAGGGGGAAAAAGCCAGCACAAAAGAAAAAAAAAAATCCAGTTCTCAAATCTTTCATCTTCATTAGGCTTGCTTTGTTCTTTCTTAATGTCATACTGATTAGCTTTCGATAAATCCAAAGGACTTTTGCACAATTTCAAAGACTTCAGTGGTATTCAAAGGACTTTTGCCATCTTATTAACTTGCCAGAGGAAGACTGGCTGTGACTCTACCTTGACAAATCCCATTCGACACTGCCACAGCACTGGCACAAAGTTCCTGATAATCATCATCTGAAGAAAATTTAAAAGGCCTTTTATTTCAGGATTGTATTTTGCTGCTCTGTCGCTTACAAGCCGTCTCTTAGCAGATCAGACAAGTTCCCAGGGAGCGCTGGGAGAGGTGAACCTTTCTGACCACTTTAGGCCCCCGTCTGTGGCGCAGTCAGCAGGAGGCGGACAGGGACAGCCAGCCCGGCGTGGGGGAACTACCTGCTCGGCAAAGACACGAATGAGAATCAGCCCAGACACCTCTCTGTCCCGACTATTCACCCTTGACTATTCACCCTTGTCGTGAGAAGAATGCTTGACAGCATTTGTAGCTGCTGTACAAGCAATGGCCAGTGCCTAAACCACCACTGATTTAAAGGTCTCGGGCCAGCAGCACAAGCTGGAGCTGCTGCAACACGTAGCTCTACCTTCAGCCAGGAGAGAGCGGTGACTGGGAAATCCCTTTTCTTCTGCTGTGTTCAAGGGCAGAGAACCTGACTGCTCAGTGGCGCCCGGTGCTCAGACCCATGCAGCCATATCCCGTTCTGCAGGGGAAGTCAAAAAGAAAGAAAAAGAGATCCCTGAGTCTAACTAGAATGCTGGGCTGTAACCTCGCCACGAGCTTCAGCGGCTCCATGCCAGCATGTGCTAGAGGAAAATGCATCCTCATCTTCAAGGGTTATGTTCTATATGTTATCATTCCTTAATGCCTTTCAGTCGTCTTCCCAAAAATAACTAGGGATGACTGAATTAGACGTTACTGAAATTTCTACCATTAAAAAACAAACAAAAAAAACCCCACACAAAAAAAACCCCAAATTTTTTAAAACACAAAAAAAAATGAGTGAGGCCTTCTAATCCTTCATCGAGCATCAAAAATAAAGAATAAGACACACAAATATAATTGAATAAAAGCTTCTTAAGTAATCTTGAAATGAGAAGCAAAAAAAATGCACTGAAGAACAGATCACATGTCTACATTTGCTGTTTTGAAACACTTCAAAATGCAATACCAGCAAACGTTGCATTTTTTATAACAGAAGCAGTCCTTGTAATGACTAAATGGCAGTAAATGCTGCATTAATGGCTTCACGCTTCATCCCAAAGCTTGCACGTATACAAACACGGCTCGAATGCAGCCAAGTTGAGACAGGACTGAAAAAGCCAAGCTGCACGCAGTCTCACAGATCACTGCTGCAAAACTAGTTGGCTGAGGGAAAAAAAATCCTTCCCCCAAGATCCACACTTCTGAAGGTATTTGCACACCAAGAGACGCAAATTAACTTTCAGCAGTCAAGATGAGTCAGGTCAAGAAATACAGGTGCGGTTCTCCTGATTAACAAAAACGTTGGAAAATCTAGCTCTGCGCTTTGCTAAATGGCCAGCTTCTAACCCTGTCACTTTAAAAAGCCACATCCAAGTCTGCAGAACAGGTCAGACCAGCTCTGTAAATCAGTAATCCATCCTTCTCATACTCTAGCTTCTGGATCTCGTCCATCTCTTCATACACAGCTGTAAATCATCATTCACTCCTTGCAGAGCTTTACAACACTCCACACTCTTCCTATGAGACAACGAAAAACTGAAATAAGGCTTACAGTGTTGAGTTCACCCTGTCACCTTGGGAAGCCCTTCTTAGAAGAACTTTTAATCACTGAGACCAACAGATAGAAACTAATCAGAATCTATATTAACATTTAATGAGGAGACTAGGAAAAAAAGACTTGAACAAAAGATTTTGAAGCAATCTCCAGGTAAGGAGGTCCCGCAATGCCAACAAATTAAATCTGTGAGCAGATGTGTGAAGGCCTTGGTGGATGCTGCCATCTCCTGGTACCTTCTCCGGTTTGCAAACCGTTATCCTTCAGAAAAAGGTACCCGCACATCTTGGTTAAACAAGGCCATTTTTACCCAGTTATTTGCCGCGCTGTTTTGACAGGCAGACGGAAACAAAGGGCATCGTGCTCTCCTCCTCTGCATGAGCTGTATGATCAGTGGATAAAGAAATTTTTCTGCGAAGGCTTGCATCCATGTCACCCCAAAAAGTAACACTGGCAAGCAATAGTCTCTTTTGTTTCCTGAACACAAAACATCTCTGTCAGTAGTACAGTTTCCAAAATCTGGATCTCTAAAGACGTAAATTACAGCCTTCAACTACGGAATCTTACTTGCCTTAACAAAAAAAATCCTATGCAGTACTCCATTTTCCACTGCAGTTTAAGAAGGTGAACTAAAGTCCAGAAAACTACAGAGAAAGTTTCTCCAGGGCTCCATGGGGTTAATCTTGGTTTATAGACTCAAGTTTAAGAACTGATTTCCCTTTTACTTTTTTTTTAATCTTAGCTAATGCTGAGGATACAATGACTCATGTAAATGTGTAATCTTTCTTAAAATCCCATTAAATGCTTTGTTTTCTATTCTTGTAGTGGCAAGTTTCACTTTTTTACTACAGCCTATTCAGAAAGCAGGAGAGGATTATTTTCTATCAACATTAAGCTCAACATGCGCTCTGCTATCTTTGCCATGATCCAAATCGAGTGATTATTACAACCGGATTAAATTTAGCATGAACAATATGGCCCTGGCCATTCAGATAAATGCATACTATAATGACATACATTATATGGCAGGCTAATATTTTTAATACTGAGACATAACAGAAATCCATGCAAAAGAATGTAAGCCAAGATTAAGAGCAGTTCCCAATGTAAAATGGAATGTAAACCAAGATTAACTCTAGTTCTCAATTTAAAGTGAATGATGTACCTAAGCTTCTCTAAAAAGCAGCTTAGGCAATTTTGACAGAAAAAGGGAGTGAGATAATATGGGCAGAAATTATCGAAGAAAGACAAGAGAAAAATTAATATCTTTTATTGGTCATTGATTCAGGAGCTCTCAGAAAGACGTTCACACCACCACAAGGTGAAATTCAGCTGACAGCCCCACAAGGACTTGCATGCTGGCTTCAGCAGTTGCTGTTAACCCACTGCAACCACTTGTGCCGCTGGTGCACACTCTTCCCCGCAGCCTGGAGCCACCTCAGGGACGGCACACTGCGGTCACAGGACCACAATTGCATCCCTGCAGAAACACAACATTTCTGCAAGCCTATGTTGCCACTGAAGTGTTCTTACCCCTGAACCACAGCCTTGGTGAGTTGGACTGGGCTTTGTGCTCCATTCAGAATATTCATATAATTGTCATTTCATTTCATGTGCACGTAACCCTCTGCTGCTCAGGTCAACTGGCTTCAATCATTCTACCTTCAAAAGAAACTCCACTGAGCATGCTAAAATAACCCTAAAGCTAAAAGTACGTTTCATGCAGGATTTTAACAAAAGAGTTCAGGACAAAACTCTCATCAGAGTTGATCCATTTTATCACTTAAACCCTGTACTTGTACTCTTGCAAAAAGAATCACAGAATCA